GAAGATTTTAATAGAAATAAATAAAGTAAAGAAGTACTTTTCTCATACTTCTACAAAAACCTAAATGATGGGTTAAACATAAAGTTTCTTCTTTTTAAAAAAAAGCAAAGAGATGGGATTAATCTTCACTTAGCAAAAAAAATTAGTGAAATTTCATTTTATTAACACGTAATTAACTACTTTTTATTTATTAAAATTAATATTAAATTAATTTATATGAATATTTGAATAAATAATACTTAAAATGATGACTAATGTTTGATAATTTGTTACTTTCAATAATTATTTTTCTATCATTAATATTGTTTTTTATATAATTTTTTCTTATGATACCATACGTTTTTTTATTACAACTTTCTGTGATTTATTTCATATGAATTTCAGAATTAATATTAAAAAATTTAATGAGTGAAGCTAATTAAATTTTTTAGATACTAAAAAATAAATCAACTGTTAGGTGTTTTCTTAAAAATAATTTAGTTTGTTCTTTTTCATTCTTAGTTTGTTTCATTTATTGAAGAATTTTTATATTCCTTATTTTCTTTTGAGATTGCAGAATTACTTTCATTGACATGAGGATCACTAGAAATGCTAACTCTTTTTGCCTGTCTTTTTTTATTGATATAAGTTAATGTATGATACAGAATTTCAAAGAGGATCATTACAACAATCATAATTGCAATACAGAAATAAATAGTTGCAAACACATTAAATGCTTGAGACAATAAAGCAGCAAATAATGGTAATAACCCATTAGATAATGCAGCTACACTTTCACTAATACCTACAAATAAACCTTTTGATTTTTCACTTGCTCTTAAAGAATAATAAGTTGATGTTTGATAACTAAAACCAGCAGCAATCCCAGCAAAAAATGAAGTCATGAAAATGACATATGGATTAAATACAACTGTTAATAATATTAAGAATAATGTAAATACTGCCATTGCAATTAAAAACAGTGTTCTTTTATACGTCCATTTATCAGTAATACTCATAGCAACAAATGTAAGTGTTTGAGCTATGTACATAATACAAAAATTAATTGATACAAAATTATCTTCAGGACTACCTTTCAATGGAATACCAATTGATTTTTCATCAGCAATTTTAATGTATTGGTTTGTAACAACTGCAGATGTCCCAAAAATACCTAATTGCATTAAATACCCCAAAAAAGTATATGTTTTATTTTTTAGTTGTTGTTCAGTCCATTTTACTTTAATTGATTTATTTGGTGTATTTTCTATTCCAATTACTTTAGCAACATCAATTGGAATTTCAACATCATCTTTATTATTGTTTTCATTTGTTATAACTGTTTCTTTTGATAGTGGATCTTCTTTATTACCTTTTAATTCTTCTTTTTCTTTTTTAATTTTATCTCGTAACCATTTAACATGTCGATAAGGATATATAATTGCAATAAGTATATTAATTCCAATTGAAATATATAATGATGTACTTGAACCTAATGAACTTTTAAGTGTTCCTCCAGCTGCATATCCAATAGCTTTACCAAATGACCAACACACAGCAAATAATCCTGAATTTCTAGCTTCATGTCCAATACCAGCCTCTTTACCAACAGTCCCTACAGCAGCAGGCCAAAATGTAAATGCTGAAAGTGCCCAAAATGCTGCAGAAAAATAAATTGCTATTTTACTTGATGGCCATATAGCAACGATAGCTTCTCCTATTGTTAGAAATACCATTGACATTCTAACTACTATAAATGGACTTATTCTATCTGCTAATTTTCCACCAAATGGTGCAAGAACTGCATAAATAACAAAACAAATTGTTTGTAATAAAGCAAGTTGAACTGAAGTTGCCCCTTGTTCATTAAATAATAATGGAACAACAATCCAATAAAAAAAACAAGAAGTATCATATAAAAATGCAACAAGTAAATGTCTTGGTAAATTGTCAAAAGGAATTAATAGATATTTAATGTATTTATGCATATTAATGCTTCACAAAATATTTGAAGTTCATTTTTAGAAAAAAAGATTAGATTGAATTGGAAGTTTGTAGATTAATTCTATTTTGTTCTATAGAAACTATTTTCTATTTTTATATTGATTATTTTATTTTATTTAAAAATGCTATATATAACTATTTTCTAATTTATAAAAACGAAACAAAAAATGTTATTAACCAAAACAAATTTGAAAACAAAGAAAATAGAAGTTAATTTTTTACTTCAAAAAAACAAAGAACTGTAAATAATTAATCAAGAAAGTTTGAGACTTTAAAGAATTGATAAAAGAATTAAATATTTATGATTTAGTGTTTGAAGGAGTTGTTAGTCAAGTCCTATCAACTACATTAGGTAATTTTATTGAAGGACTAACTTCTGACCAATTGAAACTTGGAATTATAAATGGACAAATTGAATTAAATAATTTAGAACTTAAAAAATCAGCGTTAGATTTTCTTAATCTTCCTGTTTCTATTACTAGAGGTGTATTAGGAAATTTAAAAGTAATAATTCCATGGTCTGATTTATTAAACAAACCAATAGAAGTAGTACTTAGTGATATTGTTGGTCTAGTAGAACCACAAAAGATCTTTACAGTTTGTTAAATCTATTTTTAGTTCAACAATAACAAAAAAATTAAAAAGAAAAAAATAATAACAAAATTAGTATAATGAAGAAAAAGCAAAAGCTGATAAAGAAAATGAAAAAAAAATGAAAATTGTTGAATATGAAATTCAAAAAGCATTTGAAGAAACAAAGAATCAAAGTGATGGATTTGTAACTCAACTTATTGGAAAAGTTATTGAAAATATTAAAATCACGATTGAAAATATTCATTTTCAATTTATTAGACCAAATAATCAAGAAAAAGCATTAACAATTGGATTTTGTATTGAATCAGTTTTAGTTAATTCAATTAAAAACCCTATTATTAAAGGAGTACCAATATTCAAATATAAATCTGTTTCATTAAATAACTTTAGTGTTTATGTAGTTCCACAATTAAGTATTATTAACTTTAGTCAATACGATACTTTACATTTTATTCTTTTAATGAGGTCTTTAATCATTACACCTTTTAATAAACAAAATGGTTATAAAGAACATCTTCTTATTTCTCCAACATCTTTTGAAGTTATTGCGGCAATTAATATTTCAAAAGGATTTAAAATTGAATATTCTAAAGTACTTGGTCAAGTAAACATTACTGATATGAAAATTTCATTAGATAAAACACAATATATTGAACTTATATCATTATTAGATATGTTTTTTGAATATGGAATGTCAACTAAATATCTTAAGTATAGACCTCAAAATTCTCAAGTTAAAAAAGAACCAAAGAAATGGTGGAAATATGCATTTAATGTTATTCTTGAAGATGTTAGAAAAAAGAATCAACCTCATTGGAATGGTAAAGATAATGAACATTATATGGAATTATATAAAAAATCATTAGGATATACATTTTTACCAATAATAACAAAAAATGAAATTAAAGAAATGGAACAGTTAGAAAATACTATGGAATTAGAAGAAATATTACACAACAGAGAACATGCTCGTTTAGAGTTAAATACTTTTCTTAAAGAACATCCTGAATATAATAAAAAGAAATCTTTTATAGAAAGAATGAAAGAATATTTCTTAAGTTTTTTTATTAAACAAGAACCTTCTTTTGATACTAAAACTTTAAATAGTATTAGTGAATTTACTGTTGATCCAAATGGACTTCATGGAGAGCCAGCAGAATATGAAAAAATGAAATTTGGAATTTGGCTAAAAAAACTTCAAATTATTTTGACTGAAGATTCAAAAGAAATAATTAATATTTCTATAAATGATATTTCTGCAAAAGCTATTATTCGTCCTCAAGGATTATTGTTATGTGCTGATGTTCTTGGATTACATATCTGTGATAATTCAATTCAACGAGCTTGGAATAAAGTACTTAATAAAGTAACTGAAACCCCATTAATTCATACTATTGTTGACGTTCAGCCACTTGACAAGAAAGTCGATTTAAGAGTAAGTGCAAATGTTCAACCAATTGATATTATTCTTACTAAAGAATTTATTATGAATATTGCCCATTTTGCAATACTTCCTAATCCATCATCTTTAGCTAAAGCAAAACAATTTGCAGCTGATAAATTTGCTGATACATGGAATAAAGTCCAAGAGACAACTAAAGGTATAAAATTAAATGATAATACTTCTCAAGTTATAAAACGTCAGATATTAGATATTTCTGCAAATGTGATTGCACCTAAAATTGCAATATTACTTAATGGAGATGAAGAAAAAACAAAATCAGTTCTTATTGATTTGGGAAAAATCAATATACAATCAAAATCTGAAGAAAAGTATGATGTATTTGACATTAACATTAAAGACGTTTCTGTATCAAATCAAGTAGTTTGTTCAAAGGAAAATCTTCCAATTGAACATCAAACTTATTTAATAAAACCAATATCTGTTTTTATTCAATTTGGTAATTGTGTAAATAAAACTAAAGAACTTCCTCAGATAAAATTAACTACAATGGTTAATCTTATAGGAATAGAATTTAGTGTTCAAAGGTATCAATATTTAATGGAATTTGTTCCTATTTGGAGTAAAGGATGGGAGAAATTATCATCAAATAAAATAGAACAAAATGAAATTACTGAAACTGATAATGAAATGGAAGAATATTTAAAAATACTTGAAAAAAGTAAAGAAGAAGATTTTAAAGCTATGAGAGTTAAAATTGATCAGTCTAAATTAATGTTAATTGAACTTGGAATTCAAAGTGCAGAAATTGAATTAAAACAAAAAGAAGATGAAACAAAGAATATTTTTAAGTTGAGTGTTGGTGATATTCAATGTTGTATTAATCAAAGTTCATTTGAAATGGATATTCAATCTCAAATTGGAAGAATTAAAGTTGATGACTGTATTGTTAATGATGGAAAATCATTTATTATTTCGAGTGAATATTATAATACTAATCAATTTATAAATGCAAGTGTTAATATTAAACAAAAAGAAGCTATTAATTATAATGGAGTTGATATGGACATTCAAGTTCATATTGAAGATTTTCATATTGCAATTAGACCAGAGACATTGGGACAATTAACTCTTGTGGCACTTAGTCTTGTACCACCATCAACAAATGAAAAAACACAGAAGAATATAAAAGATAGTCAAGAAATTAATCAAAGAATAAAAGAAGATGAGAAAGAAGATGAAATGATAGAAATTGCTGAAGAATATAAATTAAATAAAAATCATGACAACAAAACTTCTAGTCTCATAGAAAAATTACAAAAGAGAGATACATTAAATATGAATAAAAAGATGATAATTAATCTTTCTATTAGAAGATGTGGTATTATTGTATTAAATGAAGTTAAAGAAGTTATGAAAGCTGAGGTAGAAGAAATTACAACAGGAATTGATATGTTTAATTGGGGAATGAGTATTAGAAGTAAAGTACAAAATATAGTTATTGTTAATATGATTACTGAACAAATAGAAAATAAATATTTATTAAAATATACACAAGAACAACCATTACTTCTTGCTAAGATTAAAGTAAATAATGCAATGAAAAAGATAACAATCGGAGCGAATATTAATAGAATTAATATTATTTTTGGAATGTCTTTAATTAAAGAGTTATATGCTCCTTTTAAAAATGAAACATTTATAAAAGCAATTCAACAGAGTCAAGAATACGTCCCGAGCATGGAAGAACTTCAAAATGAATATATTCAACAACAAAATCTAAACAATACTTATAGTCAAGGTATTGTTTCATTAAAAAATAAAAATTGGAGACAATTAAAACCTCAAACAATGAAAATTCAATGTGAAATTGCAGGACCTTCAATTAAGATTCCAATAAAAGATCATCCAATAAATTGTATTGAATTAAACCTTGGTAATTTGTATATAAAAAGTAATGTTATTAACGGTGAAAATATTCAATATAATGAAGAATATTATACTCCAAATATTGAAAATATGAATATTGAAATTAATTCTATCACATTAACTACTTTTATTGATAATCATAAAGCTTATATAGTTAAAAATGTGTGTGTTATAACTAATATACTTACACCAAAATTCCCTGATTTTTTCACTGATGAAATGAAAGAATTTCTTCCAGTTAATATTAATTGTTCAATAAGTAACATTGAAACATCAATAAGTTATAACCAATTAAAAACAATATTCGACTTTGTTAATTTCATACAAGAAAATATTAAATCGACTTCAGAGAACCAAACAACAAAACAATTATCAAGCAAGAAAGAAACTATGGATGAAATAGAAATTAAAAATAAGCAATATAAAGAATGGCCTCCATTACCACAACAGAAATTAAAGATGATTATTGATATTAAATTAAGTACAATAAGTTTATTATTACGAAAAGAGTATGGAGATTCAGAAAATGATAAATTAATGTTGTTAGGTATTAACAATCTTAATACCAATATAAAGCAGTCAATTAATGAATTTTTTGATATTAATACGATTCTTGGAAATGTTATTATTGATGATCTTAGAACAACCCCAAAACCATTACTTGTTAATAGAGTATTTGGAACAATTGATAACACTAATTTATTAGAGCTTAAATTCAAAATGTGTCTCAAAGAAAATTACATTTCTATTGATCATTTTACTCTTGACCATTTAACGTTGTGTCTTTATCCTGAGTTTATTGGAGATACATTAGCATATATAAATTCAATAATTGAACTTTTACCAAAAGATGAGACAAACAATGAACAAATAAAAATTCAAAATGATAATTATATTCCAGTAGATACACTCCTTGAAGCAACAACAATTAATCTTCTTCAAAAAGTCGAATTTGATGAAAGAATGGCTAAGCTAGTATTTAAAGAAAAGAAAGGTTTAATAGACAAATTAAAAACTAAAACAAATAATGAAAAAACAGAAGATCATATTAACAATTTGACAATTATTAAATTAGTTGAATTGATTTATAAACAAGCCAATTTTACTGATGTTAAACAAGAAATTGTAGTTAATAATAAATTAAAAGAACTTAAGTTAAAACAAATACAAGGAAACGAATTAGTAAAATTTGTCAGTGAAAAATTACAATTTCCTAATGATATTGTAGTAATGTTAATGCATGAGTTATATAATCTCAAATTAATTCTTCGGTCTGATGTAAGAGAAGAAAATATTTTTGAAAATGGAGAAAGAAAATTCATTATTAATCCTTCAGTTGAAGAATATTTTAGTACTTTAAAACAATCAAATTTTGAAGGAGACAATCAATTAAATGTTCCTGAATATATTTCTCAAACTCAATACAATTTATTTGTCCATGGAGAAATTAAAGGAATTAATATAGTTCTTATTGTCGATCCTTATGAAGAAAAAAGTTCTTACATCAAAGCGGGTATTTCATTAGTAAGTGATATAAAAATGAAACAAGGAAAGAGACCAGTACTTAGTGCGAATATCAATTTAAATGATATTGACCTTCATCGAGGAATTGTTAAAAATCTTATTCATAAAGAAAGAAATAATGAAATTATTTCAAATACATTAAAAATGAACTTACTTATCAAGTTATGGAATGAGGAAAATGATGAAATGTGTATTGTTACTCATATAAATACATTAAATGGTATGAAAATATTCATTAGTTTCAATGATATTCAAACTATTCTTTCTTTTGTTGATAATTTAAATAAATCTATCTTAATAACTCAACAACCAATTCATACTAAAGAAGAAAGTGATGAAGATGAAGATACTGTTAGTCAATATTACCAAATTGTTCCTTCTATGAAAAAGAAAATATCAGCGGATATTTCTATTCAACCAATAGAAGTATGTCTTGTTAATGATTTACAAGGAAGAACATTGCCACTCTTACTTACTAAAGTTAATTTACTTACAGCAAGTGCTTTTGTTGAAGATGATAACATTATTGGGTCTTTAATGTCTTCGATTCAAGTTGATATGTTTAACCATCTTCAAATGAAATATGAACCATTAATAAAAGAATTTCCAATTGAAACTAAAGTTTCTATTAGTCCTGTTTTTATTAGTCAAAATATATTTACTGATATTTCTATTGGAGATATTCAATTAAATATAAGTCATGGAACCTTAACATCAATACTCGAAACTGTAGGAATTTTACAAAAACATTCTCAACAAGAAACTTCATCAATTGCCTATGTTTCATATCTTAATGAAACTGGAGAAGAACTTCTTCTTACAAATCAAGAAGAAAAAGATACTATTGTTTTAGAGAAAGATAAAACTCTACCGTTATTATTTGACTTTGAAAAAGAAAATAATATTTCACATGAAGATTCAACTGGAAGAAATCTTATTACTAAAGCATTCCAACGAAATATTGTATTTAATAACTATTTATTAGAAACTGATGTTATTGTATCTAAAGCACCTAAAATGTTCCATTTTAATTCAGAAGATAATAAAGAAAATATTTGTCCAATTGTTTCAGAAGTTATTACTCGCAGTGATGGAACAAAATTAGTTTATATCCATGGGGATGTAATTATTAGTAACAAAACTGATATGGACTTTGATTTTTATAGTAAGAATCAATTAATATCAGTTTCAAAACATAGTGAACGATCATTACCCATTCGTTTTAGTAGAGGAGATTTATATATGAAAGATGGAAGTAATGAACAAAATGGCATTAAAATAGGAAGTATTGACGAGTTGATTGCAAAACAATTTACTAAGAAAGTAGAATTAAATCAATACTCTCCAAGTAAAACAGTATTAGTTAATATACAGTTAAAGAATAGATTTGAAAGTCCAAGAGATCAAGAGCTTAGAATCGAAATTATGCCAACGTATACTATAGAAAATAAACTTCCATATGAAATGAATATTGGAATTAATGGAGAACTTCTATCTATTCCATCCAATGCCAATATTGAGTTATATCTCAATAAACGTCAAATTATTTCAGTAATGTTTAAGACATTTGAGTCATCTAATTCTGTTGTTCAAGGAAAATATGAATTAAAGAGTGGTACTTCATATGTTGAAGTGCATGACACATCCAAAAGAAAAGGATATTTAATGGTAGAACAAACAATAATGTATAAACATGCTCATATTGTGTTTTATGCTTCTAGTTTCATGTTTAACTATTCTAATCAACCACTGTTTTTGGCATCTAATGAAATGACTGGAAAGAAAGAAATTGTTGGACTTCCATCAGACGGTATTGCATGTAATGGAAAACCATTTGTTATGTGTTTAATTAATTTAGAACCTAGTTCAAATAAAATTCATATTAAACCAAATGACTGCAATTATGGAGATCCTTGTTCATGTACTGAAGTTGGATTTAAGAAAGTTGTTGATTGTAAACAAAGTAATGGAAGTATAAAATCAATCCGATATGAAATTGAGTTAGGTAAACAAGGATTTGCAAGAACTCGATTTATTAAATTGTTTAATAATTATATTTTCTGTAATACTACAAAAAATAAGATTAAAGTTAATGCTGGTGGAGTTGATAATATTATTGAAAGTGATAATGGTATTGAAAACGAAAATGAAAGAATTTCAAAATGTTGCAAAGACCTTATTATTGGAGAAGGTGAAAGAAAATTCAAAATTGAAGTTAATGAAGGAGTTAGTATTGCGTTCCCATTAGATGAAGTTGCTGAATATCCATGTAAAATAGGAGGACAAGGATATGATATATCTGTTAAAAATTTTAAAAATGCTACATACATTTCAATATATGAAAGAAAAGAAGGAGCGTCTCCATTTAAAATTATTAATAACACTAATACTCAATTTACTGTTATACAAGATGGAATTAAAGAAATTGTTGATGAGAATAAAACTATTGATTATTATTTACCTAATCCGTTAAAAGAACCTAAGGTTAGTATATGCGTTAAAGAAAAAGAGTGTATAACTGTTGACTTAAATAAAATTAACAAATGTTATCGATCTATAGATGGTGTTACTGTAAAAGTTATTGTTAGAAATGGAACAAGAACTTTGTTATTAAGTAACAAGAAAGAAATGAATAATAAATTAACAAAACAAAATATGAACATTATTGCAAATATTACTCTTGATAAAACAGTTATAAATCTATCAAATGATTGGCCAGACGATATGTTGTGTGTTACATTGGATAAACTTTGTGTTAATACATTACTCACTTCAGATCAAATAAAAGTTGTATTAAACTTAAATGATATTCAAATTGATAACATGACTCTTGGATCACCTTATCCAGTTTTATTACTAACTCATAAAGAAAAGGATTCAAAACATCAAAAACAAGCTCTCCATATAACAATGATTAAAAGAAATGTCACTGACTTATCCACAATTGAATTTGAATATTTCACTCTTTTACTTCAACAACTTGATGTCATGATAGATGGTGCTTCTGCGTTTGATTTATTAAATTATATTTCTTCATTACCATTAGAACAAGCTCTTCCACCATCTAAAGTTCTATATCAACCATATAAAATAGAAATTCCACCTGTATCTCCACCAACTTATTTATATTTCAAAGACTTCCAATTACAACCAATGAAATTTGTCATCACATTTAAATTAGGAAGTGGATTGGACGTATTGCCATCAAATGGTATTACTACAATTATCAAGACATTTGGAAGTATGTTAGGTAATCTAGACCATTCACCATTACCAATAAATAACTTTTTTGTATCAAACTGTTATGAAAAGACTGACAGGTTTGTGTCAATGATTATTAACCATGTCTCATTCCAAGTTATAAAGAATTTATATCTTCTTCTTGGATCTGTTGATTTCTTAGGTAATCCAGTAGGATTAGTTTCAAATGTTGGAAGTGGAGTTAAAGCCTTTTTCTATGAACCTATTCAAGGACTAACCGTTTCACCAACTGAGTTTGCTTATGGAATTGGAAGAGGATCAAAAACATTAATAACAAATACGGGAGCTGGTATTTTAAATAGTGCAAGTAAGATATCAGGTTCTTTAGCATCTGGAGTTGCTAATTTAACAATGGATGAACAATATATGAAAGAAAGACAAAGAAAAATGAATAAAAAAGAAAAAGGGTTCATTGGAGGATTAACCAATGGACTAAGCAGTCTTGGTAATGGAGTTATACAAGGTGTTTCTGGAGTTGTCATGGATCCAGTCAGAGATACCAAAAAAGAAGGAATTGTTGGACTAGGAAAGGGAATTGGAAAAGGATTAGTTGGATTAGTTGCAAAGCCATTAACAGGAGCTGTAGACTTAGTGTCAAGTACAACACAAGGTATTGCAGAAACAATTAATGGAGATGAAGCTGAAGAAAGAAAAAGAGATCCTATTATTTATTGTACCAAAAAAGGAATGAGAAGTTATACTATTAATACTAAAGAAGGTGAGACTGTTGAAGGAAAAACTCATGAAGAATGTATTAAAAAGATTTGTATTAATAATAATGAAAATTATATTGACCTCATAGAAACTGAAGATAATAAAATTATAGCATTAACAAATAAGAGGGTCATTATTATGGATTATTTCCATTTACACTTTATTGATGAAATTGAATTAAGATATATTAAAGACATTTCAACAGGAATCAATGGAATTAATTTAAAACTTAATAATGAACAAACAGTATTTATTCATTATGAAAAACCAACATCTTGTCTTATGTTACAAACAAAGATTAAAGGGCTTGTCAAAAATGTCCCAAAAACTTCCGTTAATGAACAACCAAGACTACCTATAACCCAAACACAAAAAATAGAAGATAAGTCAAATAATTCAAACTTATTAGAAAGTCAAACTGAAACCATATCTGATAGCACTATTACGAAAACACCTTCTCAGACTACTGACAGTAGTTCAATAATCAATTCAATAGATAGTGATTCGTCTGTTACTGGTAATATTTCAATAAAATGCATGCAACACCCTTCCTCTGATTTTGTTGAAGATGATGTACAAGAAGAACTGTTACAAGTACCACATTTTATTTTGAAAAATAAAGAACAAAGAAAATCTGAGAAACAAGAAATTAAAGAGGCTAAAAAACAAATGAAAGCAGAAGAAAAAGCAATTAAAAAACAACTAAAACAAGAAAAAAGAACTTCAACTCACCAAGATAAAGTAGACACCCAAGATGGTTCATCTAATGATAATATTGTTAATACTGATGGAACTTCTTTAATTGGTTCAACATCTTCATCAAGTGAATCAATAAGTTATGGGTCTCAATCATCTACAGAAGAAGAAAAGAAGAAGAAACGTTCATTGTTTAAAGGAATCAAAAATGTAGTTGGACATTCTTCAGATGATAAAAAGAAGTTTGGAATTTTTTAAATTGGATTATTAATGATAATTAATAAATTTTTTATTTAAAAGTTATTGATTTAAAATTTATAAACAAATAAACAGATTTAAAATCAAAAAGGAATTAATTTGATAAAATTAGTTCTTGTACATTTATTCTTTAATTGTCTGTAGTTTCACTTAGATTTGGGTCTATAAACTCAGTTGGATCATTGTATAAACTAAACCATTTTGAATGAGAAGGATTTTGGAGAGATTGATCTATTGTTCTTGAAATCTTTTCAAGATCTTTATTTGATGTAGTTTGCGAAATAACAGTTTTCATTAATTGCATTGTTGGTCTAAGAGTTAGAGTGTAAGGAAGAACATCAAAGTCATTTGATGATGCTTGTTCAAATAATTTTTTATGAAGTGAGTCAAGATAAAGTACTGTTTGTTCTTCTTTGAAACCTAAAAATCTATAATCTGTCCCATCAAAAATAACACAAGATTCTAGTCTTCGTTGGGAAGGTATTTCTGAATTAATTGAACAAGGCTTTACTGCCCCTTCTTCACAATTAAAAACAAGGTTAGAGTGTATTATTGTTTCAATCATTTGATTTACTTCAACATTTTTTATGTATTGAGTGATTCTACGTTCTTGGTCAGTTTTACCATCACCAACTTTTAATTTATAAGCGATACTCTTTACATCTTCAAATGAAAAAATTATTTCACCATTTGGTGCAAGTATTTTCTGAATATGAAGAAATGGTAATAATGATTTTACTTTTACTTTCTTTGGTCTTTTCAGTATAATAGTATATCCCATACTATTTAATAAAGACAGATACCCAACTGCTCTTCTATTTTCATTCAGAATACTTAAACTTTTTCTTTCAATAACACTTTTCCTTGAACTTACTTTTTTCTCTGCAGGTTCTTTTGACCCTTCTGATGACTTACTCATACACAGTATAAGTGTTTAGTTTTGGTTAGTTCCTTAGGTTTTATAGTTGTTTGTGATGTTTGTAAAAAGTTTGTTATTCTGATTCATTGTTGAGTGTTTTGTGGTTTTTATTAATTTATTTTATTTACTTCTTATTGATTCAGATCATCACACAAAAATTGTTTGGTAAAAATTATATGATGATTATTATTCCTATTTCTTCTCTTTCTAAATCTCTTCAGTTAAAAACACTAAAATTATTATTTGTTATATAAAACGCTTTTCTCAACATTATTGTGTTTTTTTTATAATAATTGTCTGAAAAAAAAGAAATTATTGTTGATTTGTATTCTCAGAATATAATGTTATTTCTAATGAACATTTTTATTCATACTGTGCTAAATTTTAATAGAGTAATACGTATTTATTATTTGAAATTATATTATTGCGAATAAAACAAATGTCAGTAACTTAAATAACACTTTTATTGTTTTCTACTAAATTTGGAGAGTTGAGTTAATCTAAAATGATAAACGTAGTCATTGAACTTAAATTCGTTCAATAGTAATCTTATGACTTAGACAATCTTAATTGAAAATAGACTGAGGTTATATTATCTAAAATTAAACAGAATAAATACGAACGTCATATGTGTATAGTAACTAAAGTACATAATTCATTCTATACTTGTGTTTATAACCACTACCTAATTTTCTGAGTCATTCCTTATTGCATTGTACTTTTAATAAATGTACAAAGAAAGAATTAAAAGTTAGTTTCTTTGACCGAGAAATATAAAAGACTTAGAAAACTTAATTACCTTAATTTCATGGTTTGCTGATGTTTTTGGATGTTTTTCTAAGAATATGTGGTATATTGTTATAAACTCTAGAACTTTAAAACACAGCTAAATGTAATAAATCACATAATAACATTTATCCTCATAGTTATAACTCTCATAACAACTAACAACGTGTATTAAAGTAATAATAAAGTTTAACGTCAACATAAGATTGTCTTTTCCTTAAAGAATAAAAAAGAAAAGTTCGTTTTGGAATATTTTTATCATAAATCATAGTGTTCTATAAAAAGAGTTCATAAATTTATTGAGAATGTATTAAAATCATCATAAATTATTCTAATCAAATCTTAAAAAAAGAAAATGAAACGAAAAGAAGAACCGAAGAATAAAATTTCTGAATAATGATAATCAAATTAATGAAAGGCTGAATTACAATGCAGTAAATACAACTAATTACAATTTTACTAATTCAATCCAGTTATTCTCTAATTCTCGTGTTACTCTTGGAGAAGATGAATTAATAGGACTCATAGAATCTTCATGAACAATTTCGAGTTCTTCTATGCAAAACTGGACATCAGCTTGTTTTTTTGTCAAACAAAGTTTCCTCTTTGAGCGTTCTATTTCGATTTCACTAAGACTAGGAAAAAGACTTATTAAATCTTTTTTATCTCCATACAATAATCTTGATGTAGGGACATAAGGTTTACAATTAAGAGTCATATGATGTTCCATTTCAGATGTTATGATTTGTTATTTTTGAGTTTTGAGTTTTCTACTAATTTGAAAAAAAATCCATGTTGAAGTTTGAGTGAACTACTAATAAGAAAAATCAAAATATATTATAATTTAATTATAACATATTAGGTATTGAATTTTCATTAAGTTGAAAAGAATAATACTATTTTAAATGATAAAAATACCAATAAAAAGTGAAAATTTCTTAAACTCATCAAAAAAGAATCTTCTATTCTTAACTAAACGAATTTCCATCTATTCTTTTACAAATGGTGCAATTCAATTTAAACTATTTTCATTATAATAAAACTAAGAAACAGTTATAAATTTAATGAATCTTTTTCTTGTTATAGATAACGATAAATTAAATTGATTTACAATGTGATTGTATTATAAGGGACATTCATTTTGATAGAATCAAAATCATTTCCTAAATGAATTTTTGCTCGATAGTCAGTAATTTCTTTTAAGTTACAACGAACAGTTAAAATTTCATTAGATTCTTTAGCCTCTGCAATTTTTATTCCTAAGTGATTATAAACAAAAGAATGTCCTTTATAAGTTAAGTTCAACCCATCTTTTCCAATTCTATTAGGACAAAAAACCCAACACCCATTTTCTATTGCCCTACAAGCAGCAAATTTATCAGCGACATTGAGTACTCTATAATTATAGTTAATTGGATTAATAATGATGTCATAATCATAGTTATATCTTACGAACATAGGAAAACGAGTGTCATAACAAATTGTTAATAACATCCTAAACCCTCTGAAATTAACTATTATCTTTTCATGTCCTGCTTCTAATAAACTCTCACCCCCTAAACGATATAAATGAGTCTTATTATATTTAGCAATAATTCCATTTTCATCAACTAAAACTAATTGATTATAATATTTTTTATTTTCTTCTATTAATATTCCAGCTGCAAATCCACAGTGTTTTTGCTTGCATTGATTAATTAACCAGTCAATAACACTTTGACCTCCATTTGGGTGTGCTAGTTTTTCTAAATGTTCTCCAAAACCAGTTGAAAAAACTTCAGGAAGTATATATAAGTCACTTTGAGTATCTTTAATTAATTTTTCAATATTATCTAATGTTTGTTCTAATGTAGGAAATACATCAGTTTGAATTAAAGTTACTTCAATTGACATGAATAAACTGGCAACAGATTGAATATGTAGGGTTAAAAATTCCATTAAATTTGGAATTACTTTCAATTAACATATTCTCCATTTTAACAAATCAAAATATGAAAAAAAAAACATTTTTATTTTTTCCAGAAAAATAAAGAGAAATTGAGAAAACCCTTAAAGAAAAAAATAATGGAACATCTAACTCAAATAAATGGAAGATAACAAACAAAAAGCTATCAACTATTATGAAATCCTTGGAGTTTCTAAGACTGCAAATGAAAATGAAATAAAGAAAGCATTCTATAAAATGTCTCTAAAATATCATCCAGACAAACACCCTGATGACAAAGAATCTCTTGAAAAATTTCACCAGGTTCAACAAGCATATAAAGTCCTTCAAGACCCATCTAAAAGATATATATATGACGAGTTTGGAACTAAGTCAAGAAAAGAAATTAATGAAGAATGTGAAGAGGTTGATGAAAAAGATGAAGGAGAATTAACAATTGAGGCTATTGTATCTGCTATGAAAGCAATGGGGATGAGTGTTAATGAACAAGAAGCTGAACATATTTTAGCAAACACTAATTTTGAAGTGAATGATAGAACAGTAAGAAAAGGTGGATTACGTGATGAGCTAATCCGTTCTGAAAAAGAGGGGGTTACTGCAATTGATTTATCAAAACTTGTTATCCGTTCTATTAAAGAAGATTGTGTTGAACATATGAAACAATTAACTTCTATCAATTTCAGTACAAATTCTATAAGAAGTTTACCTGATAGTTTTGGTACATTGACTCAAATTAAAAAATTAAATTTGAGTGACAATAAATTTACAGAAATTCCTGCATGCGTATTTAAGTTGAAAAATTTGGAGATTTTTGAAATGGAAAGAAACGAAATAACAGAAGTTACAGATGAGATTTTCCAATTAGAGAATCTAAGAAGATTAAATCTTTTCTCTAACAAAATCAGAAATGTACCAATTAGATTGTGTTTTGACCTTAAAAAGATTCAATCAATTGATATCTCATGTAATAATATTCATGAATATCCTCAAGGGAAAGAAGGTATTGATCTTATTACTGATGCTGATATAAAAAGTGGAGCACAACAAGGGTCTTTAGTTGCACAATACTTTGCCTCTTTAGATAAGAAACCACGCCAAAAGAAAGAAAAAATAGAAAAGAGACATGAGAAAAAAAAGTCTAAAAAGTGATAATGAAGAAGAGATGATATAGATTAAATTTTTTGATATTGTTAATTCTGTTTATCTTTTTATCTTTAATTTATCTTAACAGAAATTGGAATGGTTGTTTGTACAATTGAAAATCTTGTGTTTCAATGTGAAATTAAAAAAGAAATAAATGAAAATAAATGCGAACAACTTGTATATTCATTTGGTCATCAAGAAGATGGAAATACATGTTGTATTATTTTTTATGGTTGTTTGTTTCTTGAACCTATCAGAAGAAAAATAATAATAAGTAGGGAGATCACATCTTGACATTGATTTAACTGAATTGAATAAGAGGATTAATGAACCAATTGGGGATGTGTTTATTGATCTTGTTGAAACTATAAATGAAGTAATTAATGAACAAAGACCCAAAGAAAAACAGTACAGAATTATCGACCATTTAGAAGTTATTGAAGGGATTCCATTTGTTGGATACCATACTAGGAGACATACCTTTGGAAGAGTTTGGTTAAAAAATCATAAAGACATCAACCAAGTAAGGAAAATTTGTAATGAGATGGATATAAATATATATGAGGCACATCTTAGCCCTGACATTATGTTTATGACTGATTTAGGATTAAGAACAATGGTATTTGTTCATTTTAATGCTTTAATATCAGACTATAGAAAAACTAAATGTAAACATGAATATTATATTGATTGTAAAGTATTAAGTCCAAATGAGTTTGCTTCAGAAACAAAAGATGGACTGAGAAATGGAAATCTTAGAGTCTATTGGGGAACATCTCCTTTTGTTAATTGTGAAGAAGGAGGAACTAAAACTGAATCATTTTCAGAGAATGGTAAAATTCTTATTGATAAATGGATTACTCAAATGACTTTTCAAGAATATAATGATAAGTTGGTTCTTGATATTGATAGACTTCAAAAAATAGTAGAAAAGTATAATTTGAGTCCAGGGAGAGGTATTAGAGAAAATACTCAATTTCAAACACAAATGATGACACAAATCAGTCAGATGAATATTAACAAGATTTTTGAAAAGGAGATATATGATTGGAATGAAGAAATAGAAGTTGATAGTTTTAATGAAGAGGTTGAAGTCACACAAGAATTAATCAACAAAAATGAAAAATTTTCTAGTCTTCAAATAAATGAAAAAGAAAAGAAGGAAATTACTTTTAAACAATCAAGTGAGGATGACAGTACAATGGAATGTGAAGAACAAGATAAGGCTAATGGGTTTGGAGATTTGGAAATAGAGTTAGATGGTTCTATACAGTTTCATCAAAGCTTAGATGAAAGTATAGACTCTTCAGAGAGAATGGAAATAGAAGAAGTAGAAGATGAGAATCAAAATTCAGGAATAGAGTTATTAAGTCAAATTTCATGCACCAACTTTCAGATACAAAGAAATAATAATAAAATTTTCACTCAAACCTTACAAAATAAGGGACATATTTTTTTTGATGAAAACAAAAGTATAGAAGAATCAGTTCAACAAGGAAATAAAACACTTCAAATAAATTTATTAGAGAAGGGTAGTCGAATAATAAATCAAGAAGTTTTATTTGAAGAAAATAAACCAAAGTCATCCGATACATTAGAAATAAATTATAAGACAAATGAAAATGTTATTGTCTTTGATAGTCCACCAAGTTTATTTGAAATACAACAAGAAATAAAACACTATAAAATAAATATATGTCACGAAGGTATTATTATTCCAAAAATAAATGAAATAATTGAATCAACTTATCCAATTCATTGTATATGTACAATCCCACCACCATCATTCATGGACGTAATTCAAAGTTTAAAAACTCAAAAAAATGATAATGAATATATTGTAAATCAAGAAAAGAAATTAAATGATCCTTATTCATATTTTATGATAAATAGAATTAATAATCCTTTAATAAGTAAGAACAGTTGTATAATTAGTATTCAATTATTATTTCATCGATTTGATGAATCAACAGGAAAATATCAAAATTCCAAACATGACTCTGTTGAAGGAATAATTGTTTACCAATCATTTAGAAGTAAGACTTTATTTTATCTTATTCACACTAATTTAGAAGCTATTAAATATCTTCATAAAACTTATAAAACACTTAAAACAATTGATATTATTTGTCATAATGAATTATCGCTTTTCATTTCATTGATTAAAATAATTAATGATGAAGACGCAGATATGATAATGGCAGAAGATTGTTCATTTACTATCCAATTCATTAATGAAAGGTATAAACTTTATAAACAAGGAAGTTTTAATGATAAAATTAATAGATTACAAAATGGAAAAGGGATAAAAGGAAGATTAGTACTAGACATCTGGCACATTTATAAGGAATGTAGTAAATTTTCCAATTATGAAACTGACTATATTGCTAAGCAAGTATTTAATGTGTCATTACCAAATGTTAATTATTTATGTTATAATGCACCAGAACAATTATTAAGTTCCTTTTTAAGGTTTCACTGTTGTCTATTATTATTAGACTATTTTGGTTATATAAACCGAATTCAAGAATTTGCACAGTTTCATGCTTGTCCTCTTAAAGGGGAAATAGAACGAGGTTCACAATATAAGGTTGAGTGTTGTTTAAAAAGGGTGAGTAAGAGTGAATTTAAGTTATTTTCACCAAGTGATAATCAACTAAATTCTAGTAGAGCAACGGACTGTGTTGCATTAGTAATGGAGCCACAGTCTGGGTTTCATAGTAATCCTGTTATTGTACTAGATTTTCTTTCTATGTACCCAACAACAGCAATAGCTTATAACATATGTTATTCTACGTGTCTAGGATATGTAGATGATATTAGTACTGAAAGAAAAATTGGACCAATGACATACTCTTTTGAAAAAGAAAATTTAAATACTCTTAAGGGTAATATTCATGTTGTAGCGAATGGAATAATGTTTGTAGATGCATGTGTTAGAAAAGGGATATTACCTATTATGCTTGAAGAAATGTTATCAACAAGACAACACATTAAAGAAAGAATGAAGATGTTTACAAAAGGGAGTGAAGCATATAAAAAATGTTTTCTTCAACAATTAGCACTAAAATTGTTATGTAATGTTGTTTATGGATATACAGGCGCTGGGCTATCTGGGAGAATGCCTTGTAATGAAATTGCAGATGCTATTGTTGAAACAGCTCGGCAAACACTAGAAAAAGCCATCAATTTTGCTGAAAGAAAGTTTGGAGGAAAAGTAATATACTCAGACACTGATAGTTTGTTTGTAGAAATGGAAGGTAAGACAATAGAAGAATCCTTTGAAGTTGGAAAACAATTATGTGAAGAATTTAATAAAACTATTCCGCCTCCAATGAAACTTCAATTAGAAAAAGTGTATTGGCCCCTTGTTACTGTTACAAAAAAAAGATACTTTGGAATGAAGTATGAAAAATGTGAAACAAAACCAACTCTCGAAGCTAAAGGTCTTGAGGCTGTAAGAAAAGACAGTTGTAGAGTTGTAAGAGGGATGATGTCATCTGTGATGAAATATTTATTAAATAAAGATATTGAAGGAATGAAACAATACTTAGAAATCAACTGGGAAATGATCCAAAAGGGAGAAGGATTTATTGATGACTTTATAATTAGTAGACCATATAGAAGGCATTATGCTGAAGGAAGAAAACCACCAATTGGAGCAAAAGTCATTTTAAAAGAAAGAGAAAAAGATAATACTTTCTATTTTCAGTATGGACAAAGAGTTAAATATGTTGTTGTTAGGACATCATCTGGAAAATTATGTGATAGCGCTGTAAGCCCACAATTTGCTGCGTCAGAACAAATGGTTATTGATAGTGATTATTATATTAATAAACAAATTAATAATTCATTACAAAGAATTTTATTACCTTGTGGTATTGACATTAATAAATGGTATAATACTTCATTAACCACAATCCTTTTTGAAGGAAGAAAAGATAAGAAAATAAGATTAGAAGATTATTATTTAATCCATAAATGCATCAGGTGTAATAAAAAAATTATAGGAGAAAGTTATTTATGTAAAACATGTTCATATGATAAAAGAATTGTAATTGCTGAATGTCAATTACATATCAAAGAGATGGAACAAAGACTAATAGATATGAAAAAGAGATGTTTGTATTGCCAATTACAATATCCTTTTGAATGTATATCAACACAATGTCCTATTTCATTTAAAATTATCAAAGAAGAAAGTGAGTATAGAAATTTTCTAAAAGATGTAATGAAGAATAATGAAACAACTATAATTAGTGACTATGAAATGGAACAAGATGATATGGTTATATAATGATTGTATATCATTTGGTTTTTTCTTTTTCTTTTAATAAATAAGAACTATAAAATTTTAAAATTGTATTTAAGATGAAACAAGAAATATGGTTTTATTCAATGTTTATTGTTCAATTAGTACTTGACATTGCCTTCTTTCTGACATGTAAATGGGCTTGGACATTAAATCTTTATCTTGATTCATTTGCAGATAATTATTTTGCCGATCATATATGTGTTTGGTATTTTGTTAGTGTAGGAATAGTCTTATATTTGGTTTCATACTTCCACAGTGGAAGTTTAATTTCTATGTATTCATTATCAATTAAACCAAGGTTTGTTTAATTTATTTAAAAAATGAAATAATAAGGTTTGATTTGGTAGGAAAAAAGAACAATACTTTTGTTATATTCATGGACCAACACTTGGAAGAATTTTCATTTCATTTGGATGTGTTTTATATTATCATTCATCATTTGGACTAGCATTATGGGGAGGATATATTGGAGTAGCATTAATTGCATCAGTGATTATAGAAAGTCAAATTCTTTTACCACACATTCCATTAATGGATTATGGGTTAGTCTTTGGAAGAATAAGAATTCCAAAACCTTTAAAACAAGAACATCTTGATTGATTTTTCTTCTTTGTATTAAACTAATTTTTTTTTTACTTTAATATATATAAAGAATTTATTCAATTATTTAGTCATCACTTTCTTCTGAATGTTTTGACTTTTTCTCAACACTCATTGCTGATTCATCTTCTTTTTTAATTTCAAGTAATTCTTGTTGTGTAGAATCATCTAGTTCATCCATTTTATCAATAGTATTAGCAAGTGTAATATCATCATCATTCCATTTGGCATCAATCATTAATAACCCATCTCCATTGATTGTTGGCAATAAATATTTATTATTTTCTATTTCTTCAAAGAAATTTGCATTAAAATTTTTTACTTCTTCTACACTTATTTTATTCTTTCTGATGAAATTAATTAATTTGATGTAATTATATTGATTCCCTTGTGCAATTTGGTAAAGTTCTTCAAATGAAATATGATGTTTTTCGTTCATATGTTTTAAAAGAAGGTCAATGTCAAGAAACTCTTTACAAAATAAACATGGTGTCCTAAATGAAGTTTCATCATTTCCATTATCCCAATCCCAGTCATCACTATCACTACTCATTGTTGTTTGTTTCTATTTATGAGTTGAATTTTAGGTTTTCTTTTTAAATTTGTTTTAAATAACAAAAATATATATTGTTTTTAATGACTAATATTGTTATATGAAAGTTGTTTTGAAATGTAATGTACTAATAACGAGTTGAATAAAAACTTGATGGAAAGTTTTCCATTTTAGTTGTGTATTTCATTTTTATTTAAAAGAATATTTTTTGTAATGGATATTAGTTCTTTTTTAGAGAGAGTAAACAATACCAGAAAATCTAAAGAGGTTTCAATAGGAAAAAGAATTAATTTATGTTTGTGGTTATTTGATTGAATGAATAATGTTTTTATTAGTTCAAGTGATATAACTATGATCGTTAAATTAATTTTTTTTAAGATTTCTTTTCTATGAATTTCCATTCAAAGTTCTTATTTAAGACATGTTTATATAAACAATTAAGTAGTAAGGAAAATTCTATAAATTACTTTGTGTCATTGGTTATGTAGTAATGAAAGATTTCTTTAATAGAACTTTTTATATAAATGAGTTTTTGATGATATACTTAAAATAGTCTTTTGTCTGACTTAATTTTTTTTTGAAGATTAATCAGCCATCCATCTCATTGTATTCTTTGTATAAACGTTTAGTACAACAGTTATTCTTTATGATTAAATAAACCCAATTTGATTGTTTTTTTTGATTTTGTTTTTTCCTTGGTTGATGAAGAATTAAAATTGTGTCTTTTCTCTCTTTTCTTTATTTATTTAGAGGTATGCTTTTGATGTCTCAATCAAATATCGGACTCTTAGTAACATAATACTGATAATTATGATAAGTGATAAAGTCAACTTCTTTTTGGTTGTTTTGTCAACAGCACTAAATTCTGTTTCTTTACAAAGAACATGATATTGCAATTGATAATTTTTTGCTTCTTCTTTTTACTTTTCACATTCTAATTTTATTATTTGATTAAATGCCATTAATTGATGAAGTGTGATTCATTTTATTATTCTAATGCCTTTTGTATTCTAGTATGTGACTTTGTATTCTCCATATCGTAATTCAATCAAATTAAATACTAGTTTGTTATTGCAAGGTATTTTATCTACTTTTTTAATTCTAGTACACAAACTGCATTCCTTGAAAAAAATACTAATTAATTGCTGCATAGATCGTTTCAAAAGAATATTTAATATAATAAGTTTATTATCTAGTGTCAGAGAGAAATTAAATCAATGTCATTATTACAAATTATTTATGAATAGACAAAAACTTTGAAATTAACTTTATTTCTAATACCTTATTTAAATTAGACTCTAACTTATTGATTTTTTTAGTTAGAATGTTTTTCAAACAAATACCGGTAATAGGTGATAAATGTTGGTTACTCCATAAAAGATACATTACATTTCACAAGTTGTTTATAAAAAGGAAGTCAAAATATCTCACTTCACCCCAAGAGCTTTTATTGAGTTATGTTTATACACCCAAATTAATTAAGAATTTTGATGGTATTGAGCTTAATGCTATTAAAGTTATAAGTATAAATATCTTTCTTATCACTTCTCAATACACTTATGACACTGCAACTAAAAACCTTACTATTATTGCTTTGATAAGAAAGAATGGAACATCAAATATTCTCCATAATTTAAGTTTCTTCTTTGGACCTGAAAAAGTAATAAATAAAAGACTGAAAAAGAATATTTCTATCAGTGTTATTCAATATAACAAATGTGATAAATGTCATATTAAATCAATTAGACATAAAAAATAAAAAATGGACTTTTGTATTAAAAGAAGTACCATAAGAAAAATCTGAAGACGAAGGTTCGTTTCCAATGATTAGTGGTTATTTTATGTATTTTAATATAATCTTCAACAAATAGAATTAATGAAAATCCTCATTTGATTCATTTTGATAATGCTAGAATGAATAAAGATAGATAGTTTTTGTTACTATCATAAAATTTAACTAATGATAAATACATGTAGTTGATTTTGAAAAAAATAAAGAAGTTACTTTAAATATTATTTTCATAATTATTAAATATAACTTTCTGATTTTGTCAATTCGCACACTGCCAATAATTGGTTTGAATTGGAATATAATTTTATTGTATAATGTTCATTTGGTGTATAAGGATATTTTATTGCAATTGTTAAACTTCCTTGTTCTGCATATGCGTGTGCTAAAGGTTTTAAAGTATCAGTGATATATAATCCAGCCCATACATTATAATGATTGTTTGTGAAAGAGACATTAATATAATCAACTGACCTATATCTCATTAGACATTAAATATAAAAATAAAAAAATATGACAAACATTCTTTGAGCATGAACTGTTGGTGTAGGTAAAGTAAATGGAGAAGAAAATCCAGATGGAGCTGTTGTGTTTGCTATTGAGGAACAATTTTTAAAATATCTAAATTCAAATTTATGAGAAGTAAGTTCTTTATCACCAACCATTGCATCCAATTGTAATTCAGAAAGGTCAAATGTAATTTCATTTTTGGTAGTTGATACAGTTTGTTTCGTTAGATATGATTTCATTGATGGTGTTCCACAAGTAAATAATCCAATTACATCTTCTGAAGAACAAATATTATTATAGAAGACATGAATTAAATAAGGAATATGTTCATCAAATTGAGTTGTGATCTTTACTACATCACCTATACAAATCTTATTAGAGACACAAATTAATTTATATTTATTTCCAACAAATAAAACAGAGTCATCTTCAAATAATCTAACTTCATACATTCCATCAGGTAATGGGTCAAATGAAATAATTGTCTCTTGTTTTTTACTATCTATAAATTTATATTGACAATATTGATTATTAAATTGTCTCATTACAACAAATATACCAACCCATAACTTCTTGTTTAATTCTTTATCAGAAAGTTCAACTTTACAATTAACACCATGAGATCCTTTGCCTATTGAAGCAATGACGTTTGTACTTTTTTTTTCCATTATTAAATGATTTTTTAGTTTTTTTTTATTCTTGTTTTAGTCAACAGAAATATTTTAAAATCTTCATTACAGACAAGTTCAACACGAAAATAAATATAAAATCACCACATTATTTTCTGTTCTTTTGATTAGTCATTAAAGGTTATTTATTACATATAGAAAAGGAAAAAAACAAAAAAAGTTATTTTGAAGTATCAATCATTAAGAAATTAGTCACAAAAAACATCAAAAAAGGAAAAAATTGAATAAGAACTTAAAAAAAGAATAGTTTTGTCTTTTACTCATAAAAATGACTATGACACAACGTCAAAAAATAATTGAAGAAATCTATACTACTGAAGAATTTTATATTCAATCAATGGAATATTGTTTAAATTTCTTTTGTAAAGAAATGAAAAGTGAAAAAAATCAATCTATTATTCCATCAGAAGATGTTGATATTATCTTTGAACACTATGATGAAGTATTAAACATAAACAAAAATTTCTTTTTGGCTTTAAAAAAGTTACAGGATACTCACAAAATTGAAACTCATCTTGGTCAAACTTTTAAATTATTTACCCCTTTTTTTAAGGTATATTTTCTTTATATATCTCATTATGATGACTCAAATCAAGTTTTAACAGAATATGAAAAGAATCCAAAGTTTAATGAATTATTAGCTTCATTACAAGCACAAATTCCAACAACAACTAATCTTGATTTGAGAAGGTTTGTTTTTAGAATATACTTTACCTTATGAATCAATAAAACAACTGACACTTATTCATTATTAGTTACCTTATCATGCCTGTACAAAGATTACCTAGGTATGAACTATTACTGAAAGATTTATTGAAAAATACAAAATCTGACCATCCTGATTATGCTGCACTTACTGAATCTCTTAATGGAATTAGAGCTGTTACTATGGAAGTTAATGAACGTACAAAAGATATTGATAGAAGAGCTAAAGTAATTAAGGTAAATTCAATGCTCTCTGGATTACATGACCTTCAACTAGTAGAACCAGATAGAACATTAATCATGGAAGGACAATTAATTAAAGTGTGTAAGAAGAGTAATAAACCTCGTTACTTTTACTTATTTGATGATGTTATGGTCTATGGAATTGGAAATCAACGAATTACTGTGAGTGGATGGTTTTATCTAAAGAATGTATATTTAGAAAACGATTCTCGTTTTGAAAATAGTTTTAAAATCAACAACGATAAAAAGAGTTTTTCTGTAATTTGTGAAACTTCTAAACAAAAGAAAGATTGGTATGATGCTTTGACAAAATATTCTGAATTACAACGAAAGAACTCTGCTATAGAAAACACTTTGCAACCAAAAACTACAATTATTCTTGACAATGAACCAAAGAACTGTTTATTATGCAAACAACAATTTACCTTTGTTAATAGAAAACATCACTGTAGACTTTGTGGAAGATGTGTTTGTAGTAATTGCAGTAAAGCAAAGATTCCATTGAATTCAAAAGGAGAGATAGACCGTGTTTGTAATTTATGTTTCAGTAAAGCAACAGGTAAAAAATTGGATGATGGATTTATTAATCAAAAGAAACTAATTAGAAGAGAAGGTAAAAGAAGTAATTCAGTTGGTAATCCAGAAGAGATATTTGATGGGCTTAGTGTTATTCTCAATCCAGATATTCAAAGAACACAAACGGCAAATATTTTGAATAATGTTGAAAATAGTAAAAGTCCATTAGGAAGAAGTATTAGTAGAAAAGAAAAATTTAAAAATCAAAAAAAAGGAGAAAGTATGAAAGACTTAACTTTTTGTCAACTCATGGAGGGTATGTCTTCATCATCAAATCCTGCAAACAAGACTCCTGAGTGTAAAAATGGTTCAGGTAATAGTCTTGTATATTTTGACTTTGTACAACAAAACCAACCTAGTCAAACTCCTGTCGATTGCCATTTTTCTGATCTTGGAATTGCTAATTATCCTAACAGCTATAAAGGTAGTAATAATGATACTACTATTAAAAAGCAACCTGAAACTCTTCAACAGACTTGGATCCAACCAATATCAAGTATTCAATACCGAGATGCATTGAATTCCTTTGACTTTTCTAATAATAATGATTTTACTGAATTTCAAAGTCAACCTGTTAATAAACAAATCAATGGAGATGACAAGAAAGACATGTTTAATGGATTAGTAAATATTCCAGTTACTTATTCAGGAACTAGTCACCAAAATTATTCAATAAATCCTGGATATTCCAAGAAAGAATTAGGAGTTTCATCAAAACCATTTAAACAAAATGAAATAAATACTATACCTATGAAACACATGACTGGTGATAAAGAAATTAAAAAACAACAACAAAAATTACCAATACCTATTTGTATTACAGAGTCTTCTCAAAGCAATCCAAATAATAACCCCAAGAAAGATAATGCACTAAATGAGTTAGAGGCATTAATGAATGACTATTTTAAATCTAAACCCCAACAACTAAATCCTACTCAAAAAATAAATGAACCGACTTTTGATAGAACAAAAGGAATAACTATAGTTGGTGGTTCACATTAAATTGTTTAATGATTTATTATTTGAAGTATTTGAGTTATTATAGTTCAAAAGGAGACTTTGTATTATTATTGAAATTTGTTTGGGATTATTTCTTTTAAGTCAAATACCGTTTCTTTTTTAATACCTTCTTAAGAAAACTTATTTTCATTAAATATTTCTTTTATTCAGCATTTATATTTTAACTTCATAGTAATTGAAGAAATTTATAAATTAACAATTTTTATAATCACAATAATTGAAGAAATTAATTTAATTATCCCAATACTTGTTTAACCATTGATCAACTATAGTTAAGTCAACTTCTTCTGCAATTTCTTTTAATTTTGGAATTAATTCAGTTTGATCTAAATTAATAACACACCCCAATGGTGGATCAAATCTTAACCATCTATCACCAAGAAACATTCTACCAGATTTAATAGTCCAACTTCTAGTGGCATACATGAAAGTGTCACTAATTTGTGTTGCCCATTGCATAATTCCTCCTTTACCAATTTTATTACTGTCAATATAAAATGGGTCTGGCTTTCCTGCTGATAATGAGAAACAAATAACTTTTTTTGGGTCTAATTGAAGACCTTCTTCACCAAATAAAAATGACCAACAAAGTCCAATTGGAGTATTATTCAGCATACCTCCATCTACGAAATTTTGATATGGCTGAAAGTATGTTGGAGCAGAAGAAGAACGTAAACAAATATCACTTAATTTTTCTTCTTCAAATCCTTTTTGGAGATTAGTAAAACAAAAAGACTCACATGATCGATTTGGTTCTTGTTCTTCAGAGTCAATTCTAAAAGTGTCCACAAGATATTTACATTGAATATCTTTAATTTTAGTTTCTTTAAATATATATTCTAATATATATTTCAATTTATCATTACGATATTTTGGTTGGTTTATTGCAATTGTCGGTTTAACAAATACTTCTTGAGAAATGATATTAAGTAAATCGCTACAGTTTCGTGGTGTTATTCCAATAGCTAACATAGACACTAATATCGAACCTACAGAACATCCACAAACTAAATCAATATTTTTTAAAAATTGTGGATGTTTTTCAAGAAGACGAGCAAGAATAATACATTCTAAAACTCCTTTAATTCCACCTCCATCAATTGATAATATTCTAAATATTTTATTTTTATCAATACATGTTCTTGGATCAAACATTTCTTTTGCTCTTTCTCGTTTTAATATTTCATCTAATTTTTCATTTAAACTTGTTTTCTTTTTACGTAATTCTGCTAATGATGCTTTTAATTCATTTACTTTTTGTTCCATTACCATTTTACCTTTATAAGTTGCTCCTTCTAATTTTGTTTTCATTAATGAAGTTAATGACTCTTCAGTCTCTTTATTTTCTTCATTTATATCTTCAACTGTTTTAGACTCTTCTTTTAATATGTCCCACATTAAAAAATTTCCTTCTTCTAATGCAATAAGTGCAGGTGTCATACCATTCTTATTTTGTTTTGTTTTTGAAGCTCCTAATTTCAGTAATAATATGGTTGATTCATAGTCTTGAGTCCGTGCTATACAATGAAGAGGAGTATCTCCATTTTCATTAATATCTTCTAAAGCCAATGGATTTTGACCAACAACGTACTTTAAAAATTTATCTTTTTTAGGAATTGTTGACTGACAAATATAATGAACAATATTATTCCCGTTTTGTGTTTTAATTGATAAGCTACTTTTCTTTGAAATTTGTTTGCATTGACTACTTCCATTCTTAATTGCAATAAATAATGGTGTCTCTCCTGTAGAATTTGTATATTTAAGCCAATCTGATTTCTCTTCACAAATAAAATTTATAATTTTCTCTTTTTTTTCTTTAAAAATGAAGAATAAAATGGATTTCAGAATTTCTGACTGTTCTTTCCAGTCTTTAATCACTTTTATAGCTTCTACTTGATTAGTATTAATTAAAGAAATTATGCCTTCAACTTTCTCCCCTTCAATAGACATGACAAAATGAGTTCTTTTTTGAAATGAACTTGTATTTTCAACAAATTAATCAAATCAGAAAATGGTAGTTAAAAGCAGACTTTGTTTGAGTTTTGCTTATAGCACATTTTCTCTTACATCAAAAAGAGAAATTAAAGCAAACCCTAAAGGGTTTGAATAAAAAGGAAGAAAAAAGTGAAAAACTAATTATAAAAAAAGTGAACTCAAAAATCTGAAATGAGTGATATTCCTGTTCAAAAGACAAATGAATCAAAACTAACACTAAAAGAAATTATTGGACAAAGATATTCAAAAACTGGAAAGAAAATAACTGATCTTTTTGGTGTTGTTTATCAAGCAAAAGATGAAAAGAAAGCTATTCCAGTTTCAATCAAATTATACCAACAATCTGAAGAAGATATTGATGGGATACAATCTAATTGTCTTCGAGAGATTGCTATATTAAAAAAATTAAATCATAACAATATTATAAAAATGATTGACTATTATTATGGTATTGAAGGATGTTATATAGTATTTGAGTCATGTGATAGAAATTTAGAAGAATATATTAAAACTTTCGCAGGAGAATTATCTCTTAATACAGTTCAATTAATATCCAAACAATTACTTGAAGCAGTTGAATATTTACATTCACATAGGATATTACATCGTGATATCCGACCATCTAATATTATTCTCTCACTTTCTAGAACAATAAAGCTTACCAATTTTTCACTTTCTAGACAAGTAACAATCCCAATAAGAAAATATACACAAGAAGTAGCAAATATATGGTATAGAGCTCCAGAAATTATATTAGGAGATCAAGGGTATGGAACAGGTGTAGATATATGGTCTGTTGGATGTGTTATTGCAGAATTGATCAATTCTAAACCATTATTTTCTGGTGATTGTAAAATTGGTCAACTCTTTCAAATTTTTCAAATATTTGGTACTCCTACAGAAGAGTCTTGGCCGGGTGTTACTCAAATGATCAATTGGAGTAATCGTTTTCCAAAATTTAAAGGAAAAAACCTTCATAATGTGTGTAGTAGGATTGGAGACCAAGGAATTGATTTATTAAATAAAATGTTATGTTGTTATCCAAATAAACGAATTGATGCTAAAGAAGCATTAAATCACCCTTTTATTAGTTTTTATAATTGATTAGTTTGAATTATATTAAAAATACTCAATACGTTAATAAAAACAAATAACGTTAGTTTCTAAAGAAAAATTAATACATTTAATTATTCAAGCCAAAGAATGACGCTAGCTCGTGAGATAAACAAACTTCTGGAAGAAGACAAATGTCAGAAAAATATATTTGAAAATCAACCATACGTTGTTCTTGTGTTGGTTTTATAAGGTATAC